GGGGGGGGGGGGACCCTAAACAGAGCCAGAAGGCTTGAATGGGAGACAATCAGTGGAGGCAGTCCTTGATTTATGACTACACTGGAGCCCAACATTTCCATTGCTAAGCAACACAGTTATTACATCCCATTTTGCCCCCCATTATATGACCTTCCTTCCCCCGTTGTTAAGTGAATCACTGCAGTTGTTCAGTTAGTGACACGGTTGTTAAGTGGACCTGGCCTCCCCTTTAACTCTGCTTGTCAGAAGGTTGCAAAAGGAGATCACGTGACCCCGGGACACTGCGACCGTCATCGATATGTCTTCTCTCTCCAGTATCTCTCCAAGGGCACCGTGTGCCGTGAGAGCGCCAGCGAGTGCGACCTTCCAGAGTACTGCAATGGGTCTTCAGCCTTCTGCCCTCAGGATGTCACGATCCAGAACGGACACCCTTGCCACCAAGACAAGGCCTACTGCTACGATGGAGTTTGCCAGGATTACGAGTTGCAATGCCAGGATATCTTTGGGCCCCGTAAGGGAAATGAGGGTTTGAGTCAAAACGGCCAGAACATTTTGGCATTCGGTTTGCTCCTGTTTGGGGCATTGGAGGGTAAAGGGGGGGGGCAAGGTGAGCTTTGGATTGCTCACCTTGCTTCCAAAATGTATCTTTTACAGAAGCCAAGGTTGCCCCCAAAATTTGTTTCTCGGATGTGAACTCCAAAGGGGATCGGTTTGGAAACTGTGGATATCAGAACCGTGAATACAGGAAATGTTCAAGCTGGTAAGAAGGCAGGTTGGGGAACGTTTATCGAGACCCGATGGAGCTGTTTCCTAGAAGGGAAAGTCCAGGGTAGTGGTTGTGGCAAGGTGGGAGGGTCTGTGACAATTCGCCATGGCCAACTTGCCATGGCCAGCTCACCATGGCCAACTAGCACAGGCAACTTGCCATGGCCAACTCACCATGGCCAACTTGTCAAGGCCAGCTCAACATGGCCAACTTGTCAAGGCCAACTTGCCATGGCCAACTCACCATGGCCAACTTGTCAAGGCCAACTTACCATGGCCAGCTCAACATGGCCAACTTGCCATGGCCAGCTCAACATGGCCAACTTGTCAAGGCCAACTTGCCATGGCCAACTCATCATGGCAAACTTGTCAAGGCCAACTTGCCATGGCCAACTCACCATGGCCAACTTGTCAAGGCCAGCTCAACATGGCCAACTTGTCAAGGCCAACTTGCCATGGCCAACTCACCATGGCCAACTTGTCAAGGCCAACTTACCATGGCCAGCTCAACATGGCCAACTTGCCATGGCCAGCTCAACATGGCCAACTTGTCAAGGCCAACTTACCATGGCCAACTCATCATGGCAAACTTGTCAAGGCCAACTTGCCATGGCCAACTCACCATGGCCAACTTGTCAAGGCCAACTCATTCCACTGAGGTCACTTGCCTTGCCAGGAATGCCTTGTGCGGAAAGCTGCAGTGTGAGAATGTGGAAACCTTGCCGGTCTTTCGGATCAAGCCTGCCATTATCCGAACTCCCATCAAAGACACCACCTGTTGGGGTGTGGACTTCCAGCTAGGATCAGATGTGCCGGATCCCGGGATGGTGAACGAAGGCACCAAGTGTGCACCTGGAAAGGTATGTTAAGCTGGCCTGGGCCAGTGCAAAGCCCCCAGGGTGAGTTGGTTTCTTTCCCTCTAGAGAAGAGGTGGGGAATGTGGCTGGCTCAGGAATTCTGGGAATTGAAGTTCACAGATCATAAAAGGGCCATAGTTCCCCACCCCTGCTCTGGAGCATTACTGAGCAGCAAGCTGGCTGGGGAATTCTGGGAATTGAAGTCCAGACCTTTGAGGGCTTGCCAAGGTTCAGAAACTAGGCCAGGTGTGTCCAAACGTTTGGCTTGCCCGCGCTACATTGAGCGAAGAGGAAATGTCTTGGGCCACACATGAGATATATAATATACAGGTAGTCCTTGACTTACCTCCACAATCCAGCCCAAAATTTCCATTGCTAAGCTAGGCTGTCGTTAAGTGAGTTTTATCTCATTTTACGACCGTTTTTGACACTTGTTCACTGCTGTTGTTAAGGAATATTTAAGTGAATCTGGCTTCCCCCATTCGCTTCGTCAGAAGCCAACGGGGAAGGTCACAAATGGCGATCACATGACCCTGGGACAGTGCAACTGTCGCAAGTACATGCCAGTTGCCAAGTGTTTGAATCCCGATCATGTGACCCTGGGGATAATGCAACGGTTGTAAGTCTGAAAACTGGTCCTAAGTGACTTTTTTTTTAGCGCTGTTGTACCTTTGGTCACTAAACGAATGCTCCTCAGTCAAACGCTACCTGTAGTAACTATTGCTAAAAATCACATCATAATGTTAAATGTTTATGATCTTGTGGGCCGCATTACTAGCTGTCTATGGCCACACGCAACTTGCAGCTAGCAGGTTGGACATACCTGCTCTGGACCGATGGAAAGTCCTTCAAAAGAGGTCTTCCAGAATGGGGAGGGGGCCCCTCTTGGAACCATTCAAGCAGCAGCCTCTTTCCAAGTTCACACAGCTCTTTTGGGAGTTGTCTTTGGCTATCTCAGAATGCATGGACCCCTTTGCTTTGCTTTACATTTACCTGAAAATTTGGGTAGCTGGAGAAGACTCCTGCGAGTCCCCTGGACTGCAAGGCGATCAAACCGGTCAGTCCTGGAGGAGATCAACCCTGACTGCTCTTTAGAAGGCCAGATCCTGAAGATGAAACTCAAGTCCTTTGGCCACCGAATGAGAAGGAAGGACTCACTGGAGAAGAGCCTGATGCTGGGAAAGATTGAGGGCAATAGAAGAAGGAGATGACCATTATAAATATGGAGCAGTGGCCGAGCATCTGAATTTTGATCACATGACCATGGGAATGTTTTTTATCAGTGTGAAAAAACAGTAATAAGTCACTTGGAACAGTCACTACACAAATTGTTGGACGTTGACATCTTGTTGGATAGGGCCCAATGCTCAAGTCTGTCAAGGTCCTTCAAACTGGTCAGTCCTAGAGGAGATCAGCCCCCACTGCTCTTTAGAAGGCCAGATCCTGAAGTTGAAACTCAAGTACTTTGGCCACCTAAGGAGAAGGAAGGACTCACTGGAGAAGAGCCTGATGCTGGGAAAGATTGAGGGCAAGAGAAGAAGGGGACAACAGAGAAGGAGGTGGCTGGATGGAGTCCCTGAAGCAGTAGGCGTGAGCTTAAATGGACTCCAGAAGATGGTAGAGGACAGGAAGACCTGGAGGAACGTTGTCCATGGGGTTGCGATGGCTCGGACACGACTTCGCAACTAACAACAACAACAACAACAACACATCTCAATACATTTGAACAGGGCCAGGCTGGGGAGGGGATGTCTCAGATAACCAGCATTTAATAGCTTGCATGCAAATGAACCATTCAGATGTTGTTCTGTTTCAGGTCTGCAAACACTACCAGTGTGTTAATGCGTCCGTCTTAGATTATGACTGTGATACAAAGAATAAATGCAACGGGCACGGGGTAAGTTCCAAATGAAAAGCAGCTTGATTCTATAGACCTTCGTGTTGGTTCCTGGGTTTGGTTTCTGGATCTAACTGAGTTCACCTAAATATTATTCTTCCCACCCTCAAACAGGTATGCAACAGCAATAAAAACTGCCATTGTAATTCAGAGTGGGCACCTCCCTACTGTGATTCCCCCGGATATGGGGGCAGTATAGACAGTGGGCCTACTTACAATGGTAAGTCTCCAAAGTGGGAAACCTATCCTTCAGAACAATGAAGGAGGCTGACACAGAAGCTTCTTTCTTTCTTTCCAGACAGGGATGTTGCAACACGAAACTGGATACTGGCGTTTGCGTTTATAGTTCTTCCCATCGTGATAGCGGTACTCATTCTTTATCGTACGAGAAATAAAATAACTTCTTCCTGGTTGCCGTTCACGGACACCTGTTGCAGGCAAGTTTTTTTCCCCCCCTCTCCTCTATTTTGCTCTGAAAATATCTCTCCAGAAAAGCCAAGCTTTTGGTTTTGAAAAAGAACAAAATATATCTTTTGTATATAATGTCTATCTTCTATTTTATACAGGTAGTCTCTCTTTCTCCCTCCCTCCCTCTCTCCCTCCCTCCCTCCCTCTCTCCCTCCTTCCCTCCCTTTCTCTCTCTCTCTCTCCCCCCTCTGTTTGAGGATTGAAATCTGTGATTTTTTTCAAAATCCATACATTTGGTATGAACTTTCCACCTGAGATAGAGGAGCTGATTGCAAACAGTTTATAAAAAGACACCCTTCAAGCCAGCAGCCTTTGTCTTTCTCAGAGGCTTCCAGTTGTATTAATTATTTTACCCATCCATTTGTTTAGGTGCTTTCGCAGATCGGATGTCCGTAGGCAGCAGGCTGTTCGAACCGAATGTCCACGCAACTTTCCATATTCTTCCAGAAGTGCATCATCGTCAGTGGTAAGACCAGCGTTATTTCCACTATTTACCAATCTTGATGGTTTTTAAGGAAAAACAGGAGGAGGAACTCCAGTTAGAAGAAATAGGAGCTATAAAAAGCTAGCGCTCCTATTCCTTCTGACAGACAGACAGACAGACAGATAGATAGATAACCTTCATTGTCATGTTTTACTGTGGGCACAATTGCTCACATTAAAAATGAAATTTAGTTGCTTGCTCTCCAAGTGTACGCATACATAACACACATTTAAAACTGGAGTTCCTCCTGCCGTTTCCCCTTAAAAACTCAGTGCAGGTGAGCAGGAAAAGAGCTGGACAACACATTTCCATGGTTCCTCATGTCTACAATGCTAATCCAACTTATCACACAAAGGACAGACCAACAGGCATTGCACAATTGTCACCCCACTAATCGACTATCTCTTGTAAAGCCTAATTTGACTCCTCCTCTTTTTCCTTCTCCCACACAGGTGGTGTCGTCCATGGACCAGCAGCGTGTCCCGCCAAGGTCAGTATGGAGAGGATGAAGAAGGAGGCAAGCTGAGGGTTCCAACACTACCTCCAACTTGGTGTTGGGAAGGTTTTCGTAGAAGGGCTCAATCGGAGGTCTCCTGCTCGGGCAGGAGGTTGGACTAGATGACCTCCAAGGTCCCTTCTGATTGTCTTATTCTATGTTCTAAGTGGAATTTTCCTCCAATGGGATTTTCCCATGTATTTTACCAGGAAACATAGATAGGGCAGCCTAGAAAAGTCAGTGCCCTCCTAACCATACCCAAGCACTCCGAATTTGTTGGCGATGTCCATTTTGCTCTATGAGTTCATGGTGACCTAACCCTAACCCTAAGTCCGTGGTGGCGAACCTATGGCACCAATCACTCAATCAATCAATTTCAACTTCTCGCGGGAAAAAAAAAGATCTTGCAAAGTTGGAATTGATTGATTGAACTTTTTAGTCCCGCCCAGTCTGCCGTTACCACTGCAGCCACGCCCACCCAACGGGCCACACCTACCCAATTGGCCACACCCACCCAATGGGACACGCCCACGCGGCACCCGAGGATACATAAGTGGGTTTTGGGTTGCAGTTTGGGCACTCGGTCTCTAAAAGGTTCGCCATCACTGTTCTAAGTTGTAGGTGTTCAGTGTCCAGCACCCCACACACCATCGGCCATGCACATTGCTGCAGCCAACCACTTTGGGAGGCTGCTAATTCCCAGCTTTGCTAATGACCAGGAATGGCGAATTCTTGACCCACCGGTTGATGCTTGACCCCCTCTTCCCTTTACAGGCCTCCACCCCCAGTGGTGAAAACGTCAAAAGCATCGGATCAGATTTTCCCCTCTCGACCGGCACCTTTGCCCCCGATATAAACAATGCCTCATTTGCCTTTTGCAAGCCTGCACCCCACCTCCTGAGGGCTGAGCTCCGCCTTCCATCCAGCGATTCTTGAAACTGTCTTTTCTTCCTTGGCACTGGATTAAGAGGAAAGAAAACACAGTGGTGAATACGAAATGCAAAACTAAGGAATGTAAACTCTTATCAAAATACCTCTTTGGGAACTGAAATCACCGAGTTCTGTCAAAACTGCCCGTGTGTCCACGGCATTTGGGCTGCACTGCTGGACGATATCAGCTTGAACTGGAACAATATTTTTGGACGCAAGGGCATCTGCCTTCTTTTTATGATTAGATTTAATCGTACGATACTTGACACAAGCAAACCCCCCACCCAGTTGCTAGACCCTGAGGGATTTTTTTTTTCAGAAAATGAAATAAGTCGAGGGAAGAGGGGCCTAACTGTTTTTAAGGACCAGTAAGCTGATCAAGAAGGGCAGTCCCTGGACTTCCGGTGTGCAGGCGACCTCGTCGGACGCAGCCGACAGCTGCCTCCCGCCTGTTTCGCGTAAAAGCCGTTTTGACAGCAAGCATCAGCTGTCAAACGGCTTGATACCTTTTCCCCGGGCATAAGGGGATCGGTGAGCTGCCCGGGGTAGGAGTTGAGTTCCCGAGTCGTCCTATGTGGACGATGTAGGTTAGAACTCCTCCGGAGCCCCGAGGATTCTCCGCGATCCAGGACGCCTTCGCTTTGGCGAAGTTAGAAGCCGCCGCCACCGCTGCAACTTAAATTGAACTGTGAATTATTATATGCAGACAAACCGACCCTGGAAGTTTGTTTCCTATTTTGGATTTTACTCTAACTTTGGATATTCTGATCTTCCCTATACTTGGGGCGGACTGAGTGAAAGTGAATTTAAAATGGCGATGGAATGATACTTTTTAGCAAGAAGAAGTGAAAGTGATTTGGATTTCCGGTCTGGAACCTTTGCTACTTTTAATACTTTCATTATTCGTTTTGGATTTTGTTTAAAAGACTTTTACATAGATTGAAATTTCAAATTGCTAATATGGCTTTGAGAAGAGTGGCGCCCACAACTTCAAAGTTAATTACATCTCCGACTTCCCAGCCGCCTCAACCAACTTCTAAGCCGGCTTCCCACCCGCCACCCCCGCCATTTTCTTCACCTCCACCGCCCTCTGGTAAAGAACTACAGGATTTAATGACTGAAAGTATTAAGCAAATGACAGTGATGTTACAAAAAATGGATGATAAAATGGAAAATAAGTTTGATCAAGTAATACAGCAACAACAAGAATTATTACAGAAACATGAGGGCTTTCGTATGAATGTGACAACTGCTTTTCAAGGTTTAGCTGAATATGTGGATGCGGTGGCAGAAAGAGTGGAGGAAAATGAACAGAGGGCTGAAGAGAGCGTGCAAAGACTGGAACTTGTAGAGGAAAGTTTGGAAAATGTTAAGGGTGATGTCTTGGTTGCTCAATTTCGGGACATGGAGTACGCGATCCGGATCCGCAGGTTGGCTGAGGATCCAAAAGAGAATTTAAGAGAAATAATTCCAGAAGCATTTATGGATGCCCTGGCTTGTGGGCAGGAAATTCATGATGAAATAGAACGTGTCTTCAGGGTGAATTCCATTTCACTAAAACCTACTTTACGGTACGGAAAAGCGTGATTATGAAAAAAAAAATGTAGTTCTGTGCGATTGGGAGAAAAATCAGAAGTGGACAGCACTGGTTGCGGGGTGTGGGGTGCGGTTCTTTCACCAGGACATCCTGTGCCTTGGGGAATATTGTGGCTATTCTTGAATTTTAAAAATTCTAAACATAATGCAAGCAACAGATATGTATAAATGTGTGCGTGGCACTTTAAATCATTAAATCAGAGGTCTCCAATCTTTTGGGCACCAGGGATCAGTTCCGTGGAGAGAGGTTTTTCCACAGACCGGAGAGTGCGTGGATTTGTGTGTTACCTGCATCTCGTGGATGGGGCTTTGCTTGTTTCTGCGGCCCGGTTGCTGCATGCCGCAGCCCGGTACTGGTTCACGGACCGGGGGTTGGGGACCCCTGCTTTAAATGATAGACAGCCTAAAACATGACACAAAGTTTGAGGGTTGCGTGTCATATGTTTAGGGGGTGCAACTGTTTCTCAAAATTCAGAGCCAGGAGGGCCAGTTATTTCTGTGGCTGGGATGATATATTTTGACAGCTGCACTTTCCCTACAAAGTTACACCTGTCTTCACCTGTAGTTGCATTAAGGGAGATTCAAGCTTCAATCGAAGATCTAACCCAAGAACAGAAGCAACGTTAAATTGCTGCGCGTGGATTGGAGTTGCTTATTTGGAAATGCACGAAGCTATTCATATCCAAGAAAATGTGAAGAATGAGGATTATGCAATTTTATTCTTCTCCACCGAGAAGCCAGACCCGCTAAAGTCACTGGGACTTCTGTTTAGTGGGTATATTATTGCAAGCTTAAACACGCAGGGCTGCCAGCTCAAGGGCTCTGACTGTTCATCGTTGACCCTGACGTTGTTTTGTAATGAAAAGAGATAGAAGAATTAGTAGGAAGACAGGAGAAGATTATAAATGGAAGATGATCCATCTTCCTACTCAGGTGTGTGTATGTACAGGATGTGGTCAAAAAGTCCAAAGTGCTGGCCCTGATGTTGTGATCAAAGGTCTTCTCCTTTGAGTGCACCTGCAATAAATTGGGCGGAGCTTCAGTCACATTACAGGTAGTCCTCCTTTAGCGACCATGCTTGGGATCAGCAACTCAGTCATTAAATGAAGTAGTTGCCAGTTGAAACCGCAACTATGTTATGGTCTTCATTCAGCTTTCCTTTGCTCTACAGCAGGGGGGTCTTCAAACTTGGCCCTTTGATGACTTGTGGACTTCAACTCCCAGAATTCCTCAGCCAGGCACGCGTGCCTGGCTGAGGAATTCTGGGAGTTGAAGTCCACAAGTCATCAAAGGGCCAAGTTTGAAGACCCCTGCTCTACAGACCTGCAAGGATCATCAGTGGTTGTACTTTTTCATCCTCTTTGTAAGTGTGCATGATTGCTAAATGAGACGGTCGCTAAATGAGGACCGCCTATATTATGGCCAGCAACTTGAGGTTTTTTTAACCATGCCTTGCGGACACCCCAGCTTCTGCCAGAACTGAGGCAGGGCAATTGCACAACAAACCTCTGGGTTCCTCCTCCTTCCTCAAAGCTAATACATTGTTAGCATGTACATAATTTTAACACTGTGTGTAACTGTAAACACATATTAAACAGCTAATTCTCTCTCTGCTGGCTGATCTTACAACTGTGTTTAATAAAATATTTTAGGGAAGTTTAAATCAGTTTCAGTTAACAAGAACTAACCTAGGACATTTGATTTATTAACCGTTATTGGTTCCTTGAAATGATGGTACAGGAATTGCGCTTGGTGCCCCCCCAAAATTGGTGGGAACTTAACCAAAGGTGGCATTTCTACTGTACATTTTTCCCCAAAGGCTTCCACAATTTTGGCCACTACTGTAGTTCACAATGGACTGTGGATTCTTGCAGATCAGTGTATTAAAGACTGAAATAATGATGAATAATTATGTTGGCTTATTCCTAAGTGGCATTAGCTGTTCAATATTCAGGTAGTCCTCGACAACCACAATTGGGGCCAGAATGTCCATTGCTAAGCAAGGCAGTTTTGAAGTGAATTGTGCCAGTTTTACAACCTTTTATTGCTATTGTTAAGCAATCACTGCAATTGTGAAGCAAGTCATATGATAAGTGAATCTGGCTTCCCCCCATAGACTTTGCTTGTCAGAAGCTGGCTAGAAAGGTCCCAAATGACAATCACACACCCCGGGATGCTGCAACTGTTACAAAGACATTCTGGTGGCCAAGCACCTGAATTTTGATTATATGATCGTGGGGATGCACCAACAGTTGTGAATGCAAAGAATTTTTTTTTAACTTTTTTTGACACGTTACTTTTTACATAAGTTCCGGCGGTCACTAAATGAATGGTTGTAAGTAGAGGAGTATCCGGACTCTTGTTTGGTAAATGTACACATCATTCTTGCCAAAAGAGAGTTTTTAACAGCGTTTGTATATATTCATCTGTGTTAATAAAATGTTTGAATGATTTAGTCTCACAAATATGACCAAATATTCACTCCTGTGTATCGCAAAGTTAAGACTCCTGCAGCTGAATGAGCAGTGAATGGAATAGCTGCTGCTCAGGTTTTCTTCTCTGCCCGTCCCCAAATAGGCTATGATTCAACCATGGTTTATTGAATAAGTCATAATTGGCTGGGTGATGCTAGCTGGGGCAATATTCTGTGTTTTTGAAGAGGTAGTAAGTGGACTCAGAACAGGAGGTTCTAACCTCCACCCCACCCCGCAAGGCTACATAAACTCACTGGGTGAACCTGGGTTGGTTCCACACTCCCAACCTAGCTTATCTCACAGGCTGGTTGTTGGGAATAGCTGGAGGAGGGAGTACTGGTTAAGTCCCCTTGAGTTTTCCTGAATGAAAGGCAGAAAGCAGCCCATACAGGTAGTCCTCAATTTACGACCACAATTGTTAAGTGAATCACTGCACTTGTTAAATTAGCAACACTGTTGTTAACTGAATCTGGCTTCCCCATTGACTTTTGCTTGTCAGAACGTGGCAAAAGGCGATCGCATGATCCTGGGACACTGCAACCGTCATAAATTTCCTGACAGTGAGAACAATTAACCAGTGGAACAACCTGCCTCCAGAAGCCATGAATGCTCCAACACTGGAAGTTTTTAAGAAGAGACTGGACAGCCATTTGTCCAAAATGGTATAGGGTTTCCTGCCTGAGCAGGGGGTTGGACTACATGACCTCCAAAGTCCCTTCCAACTTTTTTTTTATTATTATTATTATTATTATTATTATTATTATTATTATTATCATTATCATTATCATTATCATTATCATTATCATTATTATTATGGATCATCGCACAGTCAGCCAGATGTTCAGACTGGATTTGGCATTTTGTCTATCGAGTATTATTATTATTATTTATTATTATTATTTATTTTTATTTTTATTATTATTATTATTATTATTATTATTATTATTATTATTATTATTATGAGCCAGTTGCCAAGCATCTGGATTTTGATCATGTGGTTGTGTGAAAAACAGCCGTAAGTCACTTTGACCAGTGCTGTTGTAACGTTGAACGGTCACTAAATGAACTGTTGTAAATCGAGGACTAATCTGTACTTTGCTTGTGGGGGGGGAGAGGTGAGGAAATCACGATGGCACGATTGAGGGGACACTTTTGAGGGCTGAAACTCCGAGCCCTGGTCACTCCGTGCCATTGTTAAGCCTGAATGGTTGCTGAACGAGTGGTCATTAAACGAGGAACCCCCCTGCGCGCTGAAAAATCGGCTCCATGTCCTTAGAAGCCAGGATTCATTTCATCAAGGACACAATTTCACACCGGGGCCAAAACACCAAGTCTTCATAATCAAGCAGCAACTGAGGCCCTTCACAAGACCAGCGGGCCAAGGCCGAATAAGGCGTGAATCCCCCACCGGCCAGGGGTCGCCGGCCTTCCGCCAGCAGCGGGACGAGACGCGGCGCTCCGGAGCGGCCTCGCCAGGGAGGCCCGCCGTTTCCCCGGTGGGGCAGAAGCCCATTTCGCCCCGAAGCGCCGCTTCCCGGCCGCCCGGCCGCCCCGCCCGGCTCTCCGCCCGTTCCAGGCGGGAGCGCCGACCGTTGAGCCGGCGGGTGGTCCGGCAGCGCCATGGGGCTGGGCCGGGGGGCCGCGTCGCCGCTCCGCCTTCTCGGCTTGGCGAGCCTCCTGGCCAACCTGGGTGAGCAGAAGGCCGGAGCCCCTCTCCTCCTCCGGGGCCAGCCCTTCCACCCGGAGACTCGCCCCGAGGCCTCCCCTTATCGTCCCCCGCGACCCCCGGGCTCGCCCGCCTCAAATTAAATGTTAATTTTTCTTTCTCCCGTTTTTCTTTTAATTCTAGAGTGTCAAACGTTTCTGCATATCACTTATCCCCTGAAGATATCAGCCAACTCCTCTGAAGACTGTATAGGTGGTGCTCCTGATGAGGTACTTGAGATTTTAAAAAGCAAATATTTGAATATTTAGAATGAAAGTGTATCTCAAAATTAGTTGATTTGAACTGAAGCGGATTGCATTCAAAAGGAAAAATAGATGGGCAACAATAGATGGAAATTTGAGCATGTTAGGTAGGGTTGCCAGGTGTCCACTATTTGAGTGGACAGTCCGCTTTTTTCACATTATGTTCACTATTTTTTTCACAAAATAGTGGACATTTTTTTTTATTCAAAAGCTTTATGATGAAATGGTAGGTAATCTAAAGCTGTACAGTCTACTTTTTTTACTACTTAACCCCCCCCCCCGCTTGTCCGCTATTTTTTGGAAGCAAACCTGGCAACCCTAGTTAGGGGGGGTCATAGATGAGGGGCAGAGAATGAAACAGGTACGCTGCAAATATATGTCAGTCACATTTTAAAATCTGGAAGAGTGGCATTTACGGCCACTGTTCCAGATTTGAAGAAAATGTATTCTTAAATAACAGACATTTTGGTGTCAGGGTATTTTGCTGTGGACTTCGCTGATAATAGGAAGTAAAACAGCCTTTATTACGTTCCACGTTACACTTTTCTCCTTAAGTGTTGAATGAAAAAAACATTATTCGTGGTGTAACGCGGAACTGGATAGAATCCCAAGTCCTTTGCAATGCTTGAATTCAAGGTGTCAAAACCCTTTTGGTGGAATCCACCCAGTTGAAGATATTTCGTGAACTTTCAATGGGTGAAGAACAAGATAAAATAATTTGATTTGTTGTTGCAAAAAGCAACTTGTAGAGTTAACTTGTACTATGCCAACTATGGTATCTGTGCGCTGTAAATGGAAGAATTCCGCTGGTGCTCTTGCAAATGTATTTTTGTCAATTTAGCTTAATCAGTCTGTAAATCTGTGATGAGAAGATCGCTAAATTGCATGGTAAACAAACAGTGTTTTTTTTTCACTTACTCACCTAAGATGTTAAAAGCATCTCATTAGCAGTACACATAAAAATTTATAAACAAATACATTAGGTGTTAACGTCACTGATATGTTTAATGACATTTTAAAATATTGAATTGATTTTTTTCAATAAATGTTTATTGCGTATTTCAATTTTGAATCCCTCTTGGTTAAAGCAGGGGTGTCCAACCTTGGCAACTTGAATATTGGTGAACTTCAACTCCCAGAATTTCCCAGCCAACATGGAGGATTCTGGGAGTTGAAGTCCAAAATTATTAAAATTGCCAAGGTTAGACACCTTTAAAGCCTTTCAGCTGAATGCACGTTTGCCTTTTTTCAGATTTCCCCAATTTCTTTAAAACTACAGACCTTTCTTTCAGATTCTTCTCCTATTTTGGTTTAATTGACTGTGTTTAAAATTTGCAGTATGCTGCGATTTGTTTAATGCTTGCTGGGGAATTCTGGGGGTTGTAGCCCACACATCTTAAAGCTGCCAAGATTGAAAAACACTGATTTAAATCATTCCTTTTTGCTTAACCTTTTCTGCCTTCACTTCTAGCATCAAATGCTTGTTTAAAATGGATCTATTCCATAATCGTTACTTTTATGACATGTGATTGCGATAACACAAGACAACTGAGTGGTTTATTTAACTGTTCCTAACAAATTGCTTTTTGCTTTGTTTTGTTCTAAATGAGCAGAGTGTTCAGGCTTATACTCTTACCATAAATCAGAAGCTCTACACAGTCCGCCTGAAACAACAGTGAGTTATTTTCTGTTTTCCAATCTTAGCCTTTGGGGAAGGGATTGGACAGTCATTTGTCTGAGGTGGATAGGGTTAGACTAGAAGACCTCCAAGGTCTATTCTATTCTATTCTATTCTATTCTATTCTATTCTATTCCATTCCATTCCATTCCACTCCACTCCACTCCACTCCACTCCACTTGCAACTTTTCCCAGCAGCTTCCCACAAGCAAAGCCCACTAGGGGAAGCCAGATTTGCTAAATAATCACACGATTCGCTTAATGACTGCAGGGATTCGCTGAACAACTGTGGCCAAAAAGGTTGTGAAATCCAGCGCAACTCACTTAACACCCAACTTGCTTAGCAACAAAAATTCTGGGCCCAATTATGGTTGCAAGTCGAGGATTACTTGTACGTATCCATTTTGTGATACCAATTTGCCTTCTGTTTCATTGCGTTCATCGCAGATCCTATTTGCCAAACGATTTTGTGATTTATACATACAACAGTGGAGGCTTTGTGCAGCCCACTATCCCAGAAATTCAGGTAAAGATGTTTTAATTGCATTTTGTCCTCACCTGATTCAAACTACAATTTAAGTGACATTAAACCATTAAATACTTGGGGTTGTTTTTTTTTTCAAATCATGTATTCCAATGCAATAAATAACATTTTGGTAATAGCACCAAATTTAATATTATACAGCTGAGAGATACTATAGAAATTCAGAGAAGAACATCTAAAGGAGATCCTGATTTCCAGGCAAGCTTGTGTGCTACAAAGTGATCCTAGAATTAATTAATTATAAAATAACAGAGTTGGAAGGGACTTTGGAGGTCTTCTAGTCCAACCCCTGCTTAAGCAGAAGACCCTGTACTATTCTGAACATGGCTGTCCAATCTCTGCTTAAAAACCTTAAAAACCTCCGGAGGCAAGCCATTCTTCTGGTTGCTCTCACTGCCAGGAAATTTTTCCTTAATTCTAGGTTAATAATTTTCTGCTGTTACTTCTTGTCCTTCCCTCTGGTGCTTTGGAGAATAAGTTAACCCCCTCTTCTCTGCGACAGACCCTCAAATATTGGAAGACACCTATCGTATTACTCCTAATCCTTCTCTTTATTAGCCTATATCAGGGATAGGCAACCTCGGCTTTTTTAGGACTCGTGGACTTCAACTCCCAGAATTCCTGAGCCAGCCATGCTGAGGGGAAAGGGAGAGATTTCCAAGCTGAGCCAGGCTGGCTCAGGAATTCTGGGAGTTGAAGTCCATGAGTCATAAAAGAGCCAAGGTTGCCTACCTCTGGCCTAGATATATGCAGTTTTCACAACTGTTCATTGTATGCTTTAGCCTCCAGTCCCCTAATAATCTTGGTTGTTCTTCTCTGAACTTTCCAAATAGTTTAGAGCTTTTAAAACTAAAATTCACACCTTGAGATAGCAATAGTGGCTCAGAACACCAGAACACTCTTAAGATTGGTGAGAAATGGTCTTTCTGTCCAGTGAAGTCATGTGGTTAATCACCAGTTCCAGATCAGCTGCAAAAGTCCAAAAGGCATATTAATTGTCCAAATTTTTGTTGTTAATTGCGAAGTCGTGTCCGACCCATCGCGACCCCATGGACAACGTTCCTCCAGGTCTTCCTGTTCTCTACCATCTTCAGAAAAGGTAAATACTGTCGTTAACGAATGGTTATATTCATTCATTGATCCTTTAAAAATACATATCTTTAGAATGAATGCTTCTATCAAGGTCATATCCAAGGATTCCCCAATTCTGTGGCAATACTCAGCACCTGCTCTGGGCTCAGGTAAGAGACTTACTCTTGAAAATAGCTACAGGCTTAAAAATAAGTCCCTGCGCTTCTTCCTGTGTAGCTCAGAGTTGCTTCGGAAGTGTGAAAAATGGGATGCCAGATTAGTCATGGTCCCAATCCAATCTTTTGATGCAAAAGTTTTTTCAGAAAGTAAACTATATTGGGAGTTCCAGGTAAAAAGTTCCAATGCAATACGTAGTTCTAGCTTTACTTTCTGTCAACCGTCCCATTGGGTTAGACAGCAAACAAACAAACAAACAAAAAAATCTCCTGGGACAATTTCTTTAGCAAGAGTAATAATATAAAGTGAAGATTCTATATAGATGCAGAAGTAGAAAAGCCAATTCTAATGATTTTACATGAAAACAGCATAGGAAAAATTTCCCTTTCCGCCCTGGACTTCCCATCTGCCACAGGGTCTCCTGCTTGAGCAGGGGCTGGACTAGAAGACCTCTAAGGTCCCTTCCACCTCTATTCTGATTCATTTGCACTCTCTTTGTTTTGAGAACGGTCTGTCTGCCTCGGACTTCCCCAGCTGGCGACCTTGGTGTTGGGTCTGTCTCAGGCTTCCAATCAGCACACTTGCATCCCAAAGTTCCCTCCCAAACCTCTCTTACATTCCAATGCTTTTCCTCCCCCCCCATTATAGCTGTCTGGTTGCAAGCAGGGCTGCATAGCGAGTCAGCCATGACACTTTCTGACAACATCCAGCTCGAGAATCCAAATAATACTCCAGGTTCATTCCATTTCCAAAAAGTTTACTGTTTATTGAATACACTGCATGGTTTTGTCGAAGCAAAACTAACTCTGAGGTTCCAACACGAGTTCATAGACTAAAACAATAATTTTGCCAGCCAAACCCCCAATGTCTTACGTAATCCATATCGACAAGTTCACTTTATTATGGGAACCATCTTCAAATCCACACCTGTTCTGGTGTCCTTGACAAGGCTTCAGGCTCTCACGGTCTTCAGCTGAATTGAATGGATAAGAAAAACTTGTGTCCTAACAATGTGGAAATTTTCAGGGGAGTGCTACAGTTTGAGAATGTCAGCTATGGCATTGAACACCTGGAATCTTCAACCACTTTTGAGCACCTAATTTACGAACTAAACAGCAAAGACGGCCAAAGCCCAATTTGGACAGAAAAGGTCACTCGTGTAGACAACCAAACGAACACTGGACATGCATCTTACAAGCTGCTTTCAGATACTGTGGTTAGTACTGATCTCTTGCTTCGTTTCTTTTTAAGGCAGTGTTTAAAAGTGGTTATCATGTTTATGTCCTAGCATTATATCTTCTCTACGTGCTGAAGTTGTCAAGGTAGTTTCAGCATAGGTGTGTGTCTACACAATAGGGCTCTGCAAAAAGGTCCACTGCAAAAGCCACTGGCCGAAACGGAGGGTTTCTCCTTGAAGTGTTAAAGCAGCCGTGTCCTCTGGAAATCTTGCTCGGTTCCTTTGAAGGTTGTTTTCAGAGGTCTGTGGGAAGTAACGCATAACGCAAAGAACGTTTTTGGACCAGTGAAGTGAAACAGCACAGACCGACAAGGAGGGACTTGAGAGTTTCCAAAGGATGTGGCTGCTTTAACACTTTGAGATCTTCTACTTGTGCCAAAACCCTTTATAAAAGGCCCATTTTAAATGGCTGTAGGTTAAACAAAACCTGTTTTGTTTTGTTTTTTTGTAAAACGGCGTCGCCAAGAGCAATTCTTCCCTCACTGTTGTTTCCTGCAATTGGGATTTTGGAGGTGGGCGGTTCCAGCGTTGAATCTTCAAGGTTAAGAAGATTGCTCCATATTTATCCCATTCCTTTTAGAATCAACTTAGCACTCTCACAACCTCTAGTGGCAATGAATTCCACAATTTAAATGATGTGCTTGGTGTGTTGGATATGTTTGCCACCTCAAGTTATATGTAAAAAAAAAAAGGTGGAATATAAATAAATAAATAAAATAATAATAAAATAAATAAAATAAAATAAAATATAATAAAATAATAAAATAAAATAAAATAATAAATGGAATAAAATTCCTGTGAAGAATTGTGGACAGTAAAGTGAGTGGAATGCAATATTGTTTTTTTCCAAAATACTTTATTGATTATAGTGTGTGTGTGTGTGTGTGTGCATGTGCATGTGGTGTGTCTATGTGTGACTGTGTGTGTGTGTGTGTGTGTGTATAAAATAAAATAAATAAATGGAATAAAATTCCTGTGAAGAATTGTGGACAGTAAAGTGAGTGGAATGCAATATTGTTTTTTTCCAAAATACTTTTCTGATTATAGTGTGTGTGTGTGTGTGTGTGTGTGTGTGTGCACGTGCATGTGGTGTGTCTATGTGTGACTGTGTGTGTGTGTGTGTATTCGCGTGTACAGGTAATCCTCAACAGTTCATTTAGTGACCGTTCAAAGTTACAACAGCACTGAAAAAGTGACTTATGACCATTTTTCACACTTACGACCGTTGCAGCATCCCTACGGTCACGTGATCAAAATTCAGACGCTTGGCAACTGACTCGTCTTTATGACGGTTGCAGTCTCCTGGGGTCATGTGGCCCTCTTTTGTGACCTTTTGACAACCAAGGTCAAGGGGTCAGATTCACTTAACAACCATGTCACTAACTTAACCACTGCAGTGATTCACTTAAGAACCGCAGCAAGAAAGGTCATAAAACGGGGCAAAACCTACGTAACAAACGTCTTCCCTAGCAGCATACATTTTGGGCTCAATTGTCGTAAGTTGAGGACTATCCATACTGCTAAGGATAATACATTTTGCATAACTGCTAGCATTGCACAATACCAGCCGGTGAAATGCAAGAAGCGTTGTTAAAAAGAAATTTATTTTGTCCTTCCTCAGCCGCTGTCAGATACCACTAAAACTCACAGGTACATAGAAGTCTATGCTGTCGTGGACAAGGTTTTGGTAAGTCTCATAGCCATCCAAAATATTCCGCCTCAGGAATTTTAGGAAGGATGTTTCTTGCAACATGGATGGTGCGGAGCAGAGGGCAAACCATTAGGCTACATGCCCTCTGAGATTATCTATTTATTAAGTTGATAGACTGCTTGTCTCTCTCTATCAAGCGGCTTTGGGCTGAGACAGGACGATGAAAAAAAGGGCAACGGCAGATGGGAATTTTGGTTGCTATGGAAGGAGGGGAGATTGGAAACAGGGGTTTTGGGGAAGCAAACGTGAAAACTGGCCTAAAGTCCCATCCACAAACTCGGGGTTTGCAGTTTAAGGAAGCCGTCTCCTTTCCAGAGACTCCCTGCTTCCATTCCTGCCCTGAAAAAAATTCCAAATAAGGGTGTGAAGGCCGCTTCTCCCCTCTTCTGATATTCTCTAATAGACTTCCCAAAACAGTTGGCGGCCCTCAAACATCTCCCAGCTTCTATCATGGTTCCGACAGATGAAACTCTTCAAAGAACTTCAAGGCATTGTTTACCTTAAAGAATCTTTATTCAGGTAGTAAGGGCATGTAATAATGGTCTTTGTAAAATTGCTAACTGTGTTATCACCTCCTTGTTTTCTAGTTCAACTATTTGGGTGGAAACCCTGAATATGTAACCTCAAACGTTGTGCAGATTATCGGCTTTGTTAATAGCGTAAGTTACGCTCTGGTTTTCTCTCAAATTAACTCCTGGTCTGGCTGCATTTTATTCTTAATCCTGGGAGTTTTGATGTAGAACTGTTCACATGCCAAAATAATTACAAGTATCAAATGCTAGATGTATGTATTCAATAAATATATATACAATATACATCAAAACACGCATCCTCCCTTTAACAGTGCAGATTTATATTCTATTCTGAATACAGTAGTCCTCGACTTACAGTGGTTCATTTAGTGACTCTTCAACATTACAACGCCACTGGAAAAAGTGACTTACGACCGTTTTTCCCACTTACAAATGTTGCAGCATCCCCACGGTCAAAATTCAGATGTTTGGCAACTGGTTCATATTTATGACGGTCACAGTGTCCCGGGGTTATGTGGATCCCCTTGTGCGACCTTTTGACAAGCCAAGTCAATGGGGAAGCCAGATTCGCTTAATAACCGTGTCACTAATTTAACAACTGCAGTGATTCACTTAACATCTGTGGCAAGAAAAGTTGTAAAATGGGACAAAACTCATTTTACAAATGTCTCACTTAGCAACAGAAATTTTGGGCTCAATTGCAGTCGTTAAGTCGAGGACTACCTGTATAATGGTGTGCATGCAGGACCTATGTAGTGGATAAATAAATTGATCATGTAGCTATTTAACCAGTGGAACAGCTTGCCTCCAGAAGTTGTGGGTGCTCCAACACTGGAAGTTTTTTAATGAGTGGATAGCTATTTGTCTGAAATGGTATAAGGTCTCCTGCCAGAGCAGGGGGTTGGACTAGATGACCTCCAAGGTCCCTTTCAACTCTGTTATTCTGTTACTCTGATTAACTTAACTCCTGCTGCAGTCTGATTTCATCCCCGATTCTCTTCTTCAATATACAATTGAAACCTTTGCTTTTTGGGGGAATTGATGCTAAATCCAGTTTAGCCATGAAAAGATCTGAACCTGCTTTTAATTAACTAATTGTGGAGAATCGCCTTAACGAAAAGAAGTTTTATTCTTTTCTTTTCAGATGTTTGCCGACATTAACGTAACAGTTGTACTTTCCTCTTTGGAGTTCTGGACAGATGGCAATAAAATCTCAACAGAAGGAGAAGCCGATGAAATTCTACGGAGGTTTTTGCAATGGAAAAATTCGTACCTTGTCCTGCGGCCTCACGACCTGGCCTTTCTCTTTGTGTAAGTGGAAAGAACGTAAAAGGCCGATCCTGGTTTTTTCATCCTTTTAATGTCTGATATAAAAGTATTCAGGATCTTTGAAGAAAAATAAAAGTAGTTGCCTACAAATACGTACAGCAAAGAGCTTGTGAAATGTGCTTTTTAAAAAGAAAATGCTTGTCTCTAAATCCAGGTTTGCAAGAAATAATAGCTGCACTTATAAAACATGATATGGCCAAACCAATGAAGGCCTAGTTCATATTTATTTAATTAACCACTTCTCTCCCCTTTAATATGAAGGCCTAGTTCACGGGTAGGCTCTTTTATGACTTGTGGACTTCAACTCCCAGAATTCCTGAGCCAGCATGAGGGAAACTTTGGCCCCTTCAAGACTCCTGGACTTCAACTCCCAGAATTCCTGAGCCAGCACGGCTCAGCTTAGAAACCTCTCCCTTTCCCCTCAGCATGGCTGGCTCAGGAATTCTGGGAGTTGAAGTCCACGCGTCATAAAAGAGCCAAGGTTGCCTACCCCTGGCCTAGTTCATATTTATTTATTTATTTAACTCCTTCTCTCCCCTTTAATATGAAGGCCTAGTTTATATTTATTTATTTATTTAACCCCTTCTGTCCCCTTTAATATGAAGGCCTAGTTCATATTTATTTATTTATTTATTTATTTATTTATTTATTTATTTATTTATTTATTTATTTATTTATTTATTTAACCCCTTCTCCCCCCTTTAATATGAAGGCCTAGTTCGTGTTTGTTTATTTATTTATTTAACCTTTTCTCTCCCCTTGCGCTCTAGGTACAGAGAGAAGCCAAATTACGTGGGAGCAGCCTTTACAGGAAAATTGTGTCTCCGAAATTTTGATGCAGCAGTAGCTTTGGTACTGTACCACAGGTTTTTCTGTAGGGTTAAAAAATTTGATCTGGGGCTGGTTTGGGTTAAGGCCTCAGTAGCAGATAATAAGAGGTGTCAGATTTAGACGCTCGCAAAAAAAACACAAACTCCCATAAAACAAGAATTCCCCTAAATCCATCCTTGTACAGGAAGTCCTTGGCTTACGTCCATTCATTCAGTGACCGTTTCAAGTTATGCTAACGCTAAATACATGGATGTATAACCAATTCTTGAAGTACCAGCTAACGCAAGCACTTCTCGGGTTATTGTGATCATGATCCGGGAGCTCCAGTGCCCACTTTGGGATTACAACATTGCACGAGAATTGAAGAAGCTCCTTGGATGAGAAGTGAAATGTTTTCAAAGAAAAAAAACAAGAAAGCCCAGTTGCGCTTTTGGGAATCACCAAAGCGTAGGATGAAAAAAGCAGAAATAATTCAGGAGAAGGATGGTTTAAATCAGTGGTTCTCAACCTTTTCTTTACCACGGACCCCCTTTAAGTATCTTTTGTGGCCATGGTGCATGGGCACGGACCCCGAGACTTAACTCAAGATTTAAATCATAACATTTCCTCAAGCCTTTGCAGACCACCTGTAACGACATTGTCCCCCCCTCCCCCCAGGGGTCCACATACCATAGGTTGAGAACCACTGGCATAATTCAGTATAGAATACGACTTTCAGGTCTACAAAACCAACCTAAAACTGAAGTGGGCTGTCACGGACACACTTATATTTTGCTTATATATCTTTGTGAAATACTTTTGATTCCTTAGTTTGGTTTCTCTTCTTCCTTCTAGTACGAGAAGTCAATAACTTTGGAGACTTTTTCAGTCATTCTGGCTCAGCTGTTGGGTTTCAGCCTGGGGATGGAATACGAGGACAGCAAAGACTGCAAGTGCCCCGGTCACATCTGTGTAATGCACACAAATGCAGTGCAAGTATTGCTATTATTCATTTCTGTCGTTCATAGCTGGAACAGAGATAAGAAGCCCTGTGATGGATATTGCT